GAAACCCTTGTTCAAAGCCGACCCTAAGCGCCATCCTTCCTGCTCTCATGATGCTGCTTCCCCGCGCCGCCTCCTTGGCCCCCCTGGGCGTATTTTCTACTCCCAGTGGGGGGCCTGGGCCCCCGGGCCCCCTCTTGTTTTCTGTTTTCTGTTTTTCAACACGCCCGCCCGCCCGCCACCCCGAGGCGGCTCGGCCCCCCACTTACCGAGAGATCAAAAACGCTCGGCCCCATCGGGAGGACGACCCCGGCTAGTCGCCGACCACAACCCACAAAGAACCCTGCACAAAGATCGCAAGGGCGGGGGCCTGTTCCTTTTTACCCATCTCACAGTAGAGAGGTGTCCGTTTTTATTTATTTATGTGCGTCTCTCTCTTTTTTTTAGGCGTTAGGTTAGGTCGGCGAAGGGTGAAGAACAGCCCGGCTCGGTCTAGGGTACCGAAACTCAGCACCCCCCCTCTGGCGCCTCGTCTTTTTGTGCCGAACAGCGAGATCTCGGCCCGCCGTTCTCCGCTCGCGCCGTCGGCGCGGCGCGCCTACCAGCGGCAATTGTCGAGGCACGGGAACGCTTACCCGGGGTCATCCTCTGAGCCTGGTCGTCGGCGCCGCGATGCCACGGCGGCGCATTCGACGTTGTCGGCGCGCTGCCCCGCGTTGAGCCCCGCCGCTCGTAGCGACGGCCGCAGGTTGGCCCGGTGCAGCGCGCCCTGGCCGCAGACTGAAGAACGGCCACGAGGGGTGTGTGATGTGCGGTGCGGGGTGTGAGGGGGCAGCGTCTTTGTGTGTGCGCGCGCGCGCCGCTTCCAAAGAGCGGGGCCCGTAGGGGACCTACGCCGCGCCGGGAAAGGGGCGCGCCGCACAGGGAGAGTTGTTTTTCATGGCCTCCCACCGCATCGGCGCCCGCCTCTCGGGCCTCTCGCCGGAGCAGCTGCTCGTAATCATCAAGGAGCAGGGTCCCTCACGCTCGCAGCTGTGCGCCATCATCGAGGCGCAGGCGGGCGCGAGCGACGCCGCGCTGCGCGTGGCGGAGGAGCACGCCGCACGGCTCGTGGAGCAGCCCGAGTGGGTGCTCTCCGAGGTCCTCCTCTCGCCGGACCTCGCCCCGCACATCCTCGCCCAGCTGCCGATCAAGGCGCACGCCGTCAAGGGGACGTGCCGCGCGTGGCGCCGCGGCTGGAAGGAGACGCTGAAGAGGCGTGAGAAGCCGCGCTTGGTCGTGTTCGCGCGGCCGCGATGAGTTTGTCAACGACTGCTCGCTTGAGCGGTACGACCTGTCATCAAATGAGTGGGGGGAGGAGGCCTGTGGCGCCGATGCTGACGG